AAATTTAGAATAACTTAAACACAAGTCTGGTTCAAAATACGCCGCGAGGTCATACTGTACGCGTACGCAATACGACTCGATTCGATGATCTAATATAACAGCATGTTGTGAGGTATCAGAAGTAACTAGTTACGTAACGATACGATAGTAACGAGTACTAATTTTTAAAGTAACGAATACATACGGGTACGCTATTTTTCGTTACTTTTACACCTCTTATCGGCAGTCAAAGGTTCGGACGAGTGGCGTGATCCCGTGGCGCAGGCATCGTACGAGAGGGGATAGTGTAGTGAGACATCGGGTGACATAGGTACGTATTAGCGCGCTACATTTTATTATTTAATCTTTAATTAAATTATGTGACTAATTATAATTCAATCAGCTTAGGAAATATATTTTATTTTTATTTATTTATTCATTTCTACCTCTGTCTTTACATGCGTACCTAATACGGCAGTGTAGGCATATAAAACTATCTAATTTAATAAGTACAGAACACAACTTATCTAATATATATATATGTCGGAGCGTCTATAAAATACCCGGTTGAATAGAGGTAGAAGGGAGGGTATATCGAGAAACCCCCTCTTGTGTCTGTAGTATAAAGTACACTGTAGGTGCCGTGCGCGAGAGATTGCGCTCAAGACATTCAACGGGCGTGGTCATTCGACTAGTGCTAAGATATTGTCGTGGTTCTGTTCGTTGTGGTAATTCTTCTAGTGCAGGCAAGGAGGATTGGTGTTGCTGAGAGGCTGCCCTGTGTTACATTGAGATAAGTAGTGTTGCTGTTGCTGTACATATTTTGGTGTTATCATGTAATTACGTACCCCATGTTACACTGGTGTGTGATTGTGGCTGAGACGTATTACGGTGTGGTCGAACTGTAATTTCACTATATTGAATGTATAGTGCGTTACGTTGTCTTATTACTGATAATAATTAAACTGCGTAAGCAAGAGAGCAAGTTGAACATCCGCTCTCACACTTTTATTATTTTTAACAATTAACGCTATCCTGATGTATCTGAGAGATCAAAATTGCGATCCTCTATTGTAATCTTAGCCGTGTAGTGGCGGTTAAGAATAACCACTACCCCATATCTTCCCGTGGGTGTCGTAAAAGGCGACAAAGGGAAACAGGCAGGAGATGGGCAGCAGCATCTTCCTGATAATAGCCAAAATAACAATAAAAAAAAACTGCGGTTGCCAACCCGCTCGCCAAGCATGGCAACTATGGTAATATACCCCCCATGAGCAATGACAATAATAAACGGCCCCCAGTCCCCGGCGGCCCCGCTATTCCTGGCTACGGTGGCGACCATGGTAACGGCGGGGCAGGGGGTGCTAAGAATCTCCGGTGGAGGTTCGGTTGCCACCTACGACGACTCGACCTGGCAACATACAACGCACGCACCCTGAGGACTGACGAGAAGATTGTGGAGCTGGAAGAAGAGATAGACAAGTTACGCTGGCATATTATAGGATTATCCGAAGTCCGAAGAGAGGGGGAGGACACGGTAATCCTCGAATCCGGCAACTTGCTCTATTACCGGGAGGGCGACCATCTGTCCCAAGGAGGTGTCGGATTTATCGTCCACAAGTCTCTCGTTAACAACGTTGTAAAGATTGAGAGTGTGTCGACGAGGGTTGCGTACCTTATACTCAGAATCACCAAACGGTATTCGCTGAAGGTCATACAGGTTTACGCACCAACTTCGGCACACCCCGATCAGGAGGTGGAGGAAATGTATGAGGATATCTCTAGAGCCATGCATTCCTCCAAAACCCAATATACGGTGTTAATGGGAGACTTCAATGCAAAACTAGGCACAAGAGAGAACGGTGAGCTGAAAGTAGGGAAATTTGGAATAGGGCAACGGAACCCAAGGGGCCAGCAGTTGGCTGACTTCATGGAGAAAGAGGGACTCTTTATGATGAACTCTTTCTTCCAGAAGCGACCCCATAGGAAGTGGACCTAGTCGAGCCCCGACGGTTCGACAAAAAATGAGATTGACTTCATTATGACGACCAGACGACAACTGTTCAGTGATGTCTCAGTGATCGCGAGGGTGAAAACCGGCAGCGATCACCGATTAGTTAGAGGTACACTGAACCTAAACGTTAAGTTGGAGAGGTCTCGTCTAATGAAGTCAACGCTCCGTCCCCCTCGTGCTCTAATCCAAAGTCCCGAAACCTTTCAGCTCGAGTTACAAAACCGTTTTCAGTGCCTAGAAGACTGCAATGAAGTGGACGATTTGAATGACAAGCTCGTGGAAACTGTCCATGCGGTCGGAGCTAAGTTCTGCGAGACCCGCTGCAGAAGAACGCAAAAACTCTCCGATCACACTCTTAATCTCATGGCTGTTAGACGGGAGATGAAGCTACATTCTTCAACAGATTTGACAGCATACAGGCAACTGAACAGACAGATCTCCAAATGCATGCGGCGGGACTTACGCAACTTCAATACAGCTCGTATTGAAGAAGCGATCGAGCGGAACCAAGGCTCCAAAGTCTTTGCCAGAGATCTGTCTGCCAGAAAGCGCCAACTGTCAAAGCTGAAGACAGAATGTGGCAGCATCGTTTCCGGGACACCTGAGATTTTGAGTGAGATTGAGAGGTTCTATGGGCAGCTGTACACGTCATCGTTGGAGCCGCACGCAAGTTTGAGTAACGATCCAAGAGCGAGTCTTATCCGACATTATTCCGATGAAATCCCGGACGTCAGTCTGAGCGAGATTAGAATGGCTCTCCAGCACCTTAAAAACGGCAAGGCCCCAGGCGAGGATGGAATTACAGCGGAGCTTCTGAAAGCGGGTGGAAAACCGGTACTTGAAGTCCTTCAGAAGCTCTTTAATTCCGTCCTCCATGGTGGCATTACACCGGAGGCGTGGAGCAGAAGTGCGGTGGTCTTGTTCTTCAAGAAAGGTGACAACGCTCTCTTGAAGAACTACAGACCGATTTCCCTTCTGAGCCGCGTCTACGTGCTGTTTTCGAGAGTCATTAAGAATCGTCTCGCGCGCAGACTTGACGACTTCCAGCCTCCCGAACAAGCCGGTTTCCGAAAAGGCTTTAGCACCATAGACCACATACATACCCTTCGGCAAATTGTACAGAAGTCCGAGGAGTACAATTTGCCACTATGTCTGGCGTATGTGGACTATGAGAAAGCCTTTGATTCCGTCGAAATTTGGGCGGTGTTGCAGTCCCTTCAGCGATGCCAAGTTGACTGTCGGTATATCGAAGTGTTGAAGTGCTTGTACAGTAGGGCTACGATGGCTATCCGAGTACAGAACCAGAGTACGAAACCTATCCAATTGCAGAGAGATGTAAGACAGGGTGACGTCATATCCCCGAAACTCTTTACCGCTGCATTGGAAGATGTTTTCAAGCTTCTGGACTGGAAAGGATACGGTATCAACATCAATGGCGAGTACATCACTCACCTTCGATTTGCCGACGATATAGTCCTTATGGCAAAATCGCTGGAGGACCTAAGCACTATGCTCAATGACCTTAATAGTGTTTCCCAACGGATAGGTCTTAAGATGAACATGGACAAAACAAAGATCATGTTTAATGTCCATGTCACACCTATGCCGGTAGTTGTTGGGAGCACTAAGCTCGAAGTTGTTGACGAGTATGTTTACCTGGGACAAATAGTCAGACTAGGTAAGTCCAACTTCGACCGAGAGGTCAATCGATGGATTCAACTCGGTTGGGCAGCGTTCGGGAAATTACGGCACATCTTCTCGTCAGGTATACCTCAAAACTTCAAAACGAGACTGTACACCCAGTGCGTGTTGCCAGTGATGACATACGGAACTGAGACGTGGTCCTTCACTGCTGGCCGGATGAGGAAGCTCAAGGTCGCTCAGCGAGCTATGGAGAGGGCTATGCTCGGAGTTTCTCTGCGTGATAAACTCAGAAATGAGGATATCCGCAGTAGAACTAGAGTGACCGACATAGCCCAACGGATTAGTAAGCTGAAGTGGCAATGGGCCGGCCATATAGCTCGAAGAACCGACAACCGATGGGGAAGAAAGGTTCTCGAGTGGCAGCCTCGTACCGGCAGGCGAAGTGTAGGGCGTCCCCCCACTAGATGGAGTGACGACCTGGTAAGATATGCAGGAAGTCGATTGATGCAGGTGGCTCAGGACCGTGCTTTGTGGCATTCTTTGGGGGAGGCCTATGTTCAGCAGTGGACTTGTGAAGGGCTGTAATGATGATGATGATGATTGTAATCTCCGACATCAGAGGTGAAATCCCCTGTTGTCATTTCCGATATCAGAAGTGCGATCTTCTGTTGTCATTTCCGATATATACATAATACATATAATGTCACTTTTATTGCAGCTGCGCCAAATATTTCCCTTATGGAGCTATGATTTTGATAAATGGTATTGGCGTACAGTTGATCAGCCCCGGACATTTCACGCCTTGTCATGGGAAACTTGTCGCGATTGTGTTAAGTGCGCCGCCGCATTGAACGTGTTGCGAGAGGACGAGGCCACCGCGCTATCGGAGTCGGAGAGGTCTAGACTGGCGAATCTATTAGGTGAGTATTCTGACGTTTTTTTTTTGATATTGTCGGAGAACCGACACCATTCGCCGAACACCATATAGATACCGGTGACCACCCGCCGATTGCTGTGCCCCCGTATCGGGTCACGCCTGCGAAGAAGGAAATCATGCGCGCCGAGTTAGACAAGATGCTGGCTGATGGTATGATTGAGGAGTACGAATCCGCCCGGGCCGCGCCTTGCGTCCTGGTACCGAAGTCTAATGGTACCTATAGGTTTTGTGTAGACTATCGCAAGCTAAATGCGGTTACCAAGACAGATGCATACCCCATGCCGCGTATCGACGAGCTGTTACAGTCGACCAAGAAGGGCTGTGTGATGAGCTCGCTAGACCTCCGTAGGATACTGGCAGGTCAGTTCTGCGGATAGGAATAAAGCGACCTTCGTAACACCTTTTGGTACCTACCGCTTCACGCGTATGCCTTTCGGCCTAAAGGGGGCTGCACCAACGTTTCAGCGACTCATAGATCGCTTCCGGTCAGGATCTTCACTTGGTGGTAGGCATATTCTAGGTTATCTTGATGACCTATTAGTAATTTCAGAGGACCTTGAGTCCCATTTGTCTGATTTACGTGCGGTATTTGAGCGTCTTCGGATGTTCAAGTTAAGAGCCAACCGTGAAAAATGCGTGTTCGCCAGGGACCGGCTCAAATACCTAGGTCACGTAATATCCAACGACGGTATGTCTCCAGACGAAGATAAGGTGCGTGCTGTCCTAGATATAAAAGAACCGACTAATCTCCAGCAACTTCGTACCTTCCTGCAAACTTGCTCTTGGTTTAGAAAGTTCATACCAGAGTTTGCGAAGGTAGCTGAGCCGCTTACATGCCTTACCAAAAAGTCACAGATGTGGCAATGGGGAGATGATCAAGCCAAAGCCTTCGTACATCTAAAGTCCTTTCTGGCTTCACCACCCATTCTTGTTCAGCCGGACTACTCAAAGCCATTCATCCTTAGGACGGACGCCAGCGATTTTGCCCTAGGTGCAGCTTTACTTCAGGGGGAGTCTCCAAGGGATGAACACCCAATCGAGTACGCGAGCTGTCTCCTCACGTCAGCCGAGAAAAATTATACTACTACGGAGCGGGAGGCGCTAGCAGTTGTTTGGGCAGTGGAAAGATTCCGTGGGTATATTGATGGTCACCAGATAGTAGTCAGAAGTGATCATCAACCCCTGAAGTGGCTGTTTTATCTCAAATCGCCTAAAGGTAGGCTTGTTCGTTGGGCTTTAAAGCTACAATCACTTGGTCTTCAAATGAAATACACTCCTGGGAAGGCTAATGTGCTAGCCGACACACTCAGCCATCGAGTCATCGATAGCACTTTGACGGAATGTGGTGTCTGCCCCGTGTCTGTAAATGTTCCACGTTGGGATGCTACATCAACCCGTGAAGCCCAGCTGGTTGATCCAGAAGTAGCCAAAATCCTTAAAGACTTGGAAAGTTCTGATGAGCTGTCAGTTCATCGGTGGTCGGATAGGGGGTACCTGGTAAACCAAGGCGTTTTGTACCGGTACGTGGACGACACCGATACGGAGGAGTCTCAGCTGGTAGTAACGGAGAGTTTTCGGGGCAAATTTATGTTTGAGTGTCGTGACTCGCCAACCGCCGCTCATGGAGGTATTCAACGGACTTTGCATCGTATATCCCAGCAGTTCTATTTCCCTGGTATGAGACGCTATATCACCGATTACCAGAAGACCTGTACTGAGTGTAAGTCTTCCAACTTGAAACCGCCTAGCTTACTCCAGACTCCGGTACCGGCTCAACGATTCGAGGTTATTGCCGTCGATCTCTTTGTACCGTTACCCAAAGGACCTCAGGGTGAAAGGTGGATTTTGATAGTGGAGGACACTGATAGAAAGTGGGTCGAACTGTTTGCTCCAAGCGAGGCCACAGGCGAAACCTGTGCGAAAACTCTTGTTGGTGAAATCTTTATGAGGTATGGACTTCCTAGGCGGATGATCTCCAATAACGGTGACTAGTTTGTGGCTGATGTTATGCAGAAGGCTCTGTTTGTCCTAGGTGTAAAACAGAACCTGGTGCCTTTGTATTACCCAGAAGCGAATCCCGTAGAATGGAAGAATCGGGACCTTAAAGCTCACCTCGCCATTCTCGTTGAGGTTAACCATAAGCAATGGTCTGAGGTATTGCCTTTCGTCCAATTTGCCTTTAATAGCTCAGTCACCGTTTCTACAGGTACCACTACGGCTTTCTTGACATTTGAACTTGAGCTCCGTTCTCCTTTGTCAGTTTAGGCTGATCTACGGGCTGTCATCAAGTCTGAAAACATAGTCCTTCAGATTACGCCTTACCTTTTGAAGCTTGCTGACTCACTCTCAGAAGCTAAGGAGAACATTGAACATCAACAGGATCTTCGTAAGCTCCAAGCCGATTCCGATCGCCGTGATTCGGATCCATTACAAGAAGGTGATCTCGTACTCATGAAGTCACATGTCCTGAGTAATGCTAATAAGGGTGTTACTTCTAAATTCATCCCGAAGCAGAATGGTCCGTATGTGATCTCCAAACAGGTGAGTCCAACTACTTACATTCTAACTTCGCAGAAGACTGGTGAAGTCGTTGGTAAGTATCATGTGTCGGATCGACGTAAATACCATGACAGGGGTGGTAAAGAATGTCCGGAGTCGGTTGCTCCTAAGCGTCGTAGGAGTCGTCCTCGTAAGGATCGCTGCTAGGCGTTAACTATTAGTTTGACCATTCGTGATGTTCCCTCTTGGTCAAAAGCGGGAGTATGTAGCATGTTGATACGTATCTATGTCACCCGATGTCTCACTATCCCCTCTCGTACGATGCCCCGCCTGCGCCAAGGGATCACGCCACTCGCCCGAAACTTTGACTGCCGATACAAGCAGTGTGCTAGCCGACTAGCTCCGAGTTATACATATGTGTAATATTGAATGTTTCCGCGCTCGCGCTGCGTTTCGCGAGACGCTGTTTATGTACTTACGGTCAATAAATGCCTATATTGTTACTATTTAAGTGAATAAACTGTGCATTCGGATTATTTGTTATAAAAGTAATAATATTATAATAATTAGTTTAATGTCAATTCTTGGCATCAGACGAAATGATATAGACTAAAAATACGATTTATGACATATCCTCTCGTCAGATATACCTGAAAACTTGAAAACGGGATTGTACAACAAGTGCGTGTTGCCAGTGATGACTTGTGGTTCTGAGAGGTTGTCCTTATCTGCTGGTTGTATGAGGAAGCTCAAGTTCGCTCAGCGAGTTATGAGGAGGGCTATGCTCAGGGTTCCTCCGCGTGATTAACTTAGAAATGAGGATATCTGCAGTGGAACCAGAATGACCGATACAGCACAACGGATTAGTAAGCTGAAGTAGCAATGGGCCCGCAATATAGCTCGAAGAAGCGACAAATTATTGTGAAAAAATGTTCTCCAGTGGCAACCTCGAACCGGTAGGGTAGAGTAAGTGTAGGGGACCCCGCAGTAGATTGAGTGACGACCTGGTAAGACATGCAGGAAGTAGATGGATGCAGGTAGCTCCGGACCGTGCTTTGTGGCATTCCTTGGAGAGGACCTATGTTCAGCAGTGGACTTGTGTAGGGCTGTAATGATGATGATGATGAAAAATATGTACTTTATATTGTTTATTATAAGAGTGCACTATGGTCCGGTGCTCACTGGATGGTACGACAAAGGATTTTTACGTAGTGACGATTTCGACGAAGGAAAAATAGGTATACTTTAGTACTAGTGACCTGCCCCGGCTTCGCCTGGTAGGATCTATTAATGTGGCTTTATCAAGATTTAAGATAATCAAAAATAAACTTTTATTAAAAAGTTAAAGTCAACTTTAACTAAATAATTAAAAACCGTTAGATAATGGTACACTCTGAAGTCGGTGCTGAGGCATAGTGAATAGAAGAATTAAGGCCGCCTTTAATGAAAAGGACGGTGAAAAGAAGATGAAATATCTTGTTACCAGCAAAATAAGTATCTTTTCTCCGTCACTCACCGTATGAAATACAGGAGTTATGCCGCTGCCGAGTTATACGCTAGTTATCTATAAGAGCGTAGTCCTTCCTTGCTTTAGCCGAGCACAAACATTATCCTACTGCAGCATGGTTCTACCAATTATTCAATCATTTACAACGGCCCATTAAAAGTCCACTGCTGTACATAAGTCCCCTCGTAGATTGTCTTGTAGGGGGGATATTTGCCATAGTTGCCACGCTTGACAGTTGGCAGATGCAGTATTTATTTTTATTGATCTGTTATCACAAAGATGTTGCTGCCCATATCCTGTTATATTATCCCTTGTATTGGTCAGTGGGCATGCTTACACCGCCACTACTGACTATGAACAAATGTTATTATTTGTCGGTTCTTCATTCCCCAATCGAGGTGGATTGGTTGGTGCTGGGCATAACCCTTGCTGTTGCGTTCTTAAAATTAACTATGTACAGCAATATACTAAAACGAGGCAACGTTCACAATGATTAAGGAAGATCATATTGCGCTGTCTAAGCACGGTTCAAATATAATTAATTGACGATATAACAAATTGCTTAAAATCAATCAAATCTTAGTTGTATGCTGTAACACGTTAATACAATACATTAATATAACACATAAATCGCTTAGTAATACGTGTAATTAATTAGAGCGAAAAATGGAACTTTGTTGTAGTTTAGAGAATAAGTGTGGTGTTAGTACAAATATTAGCCATGTTGCAGCTATAGCTGTAGTATGGTTGCAGCACGGATGTATCAACCATACTACAGCTATAGCTGCAACATGGCTATAATGTGGGATGTGGGAAAGAACACTCTCGTATTCAGCAGCGTAAAATAGCAGCTTAATGCTGCTGTGTGATTGTTTCATTGGTATAGGGGGTAAAGAAGTCTGCTGATCATAAGATTCAATCCCGGTTCGGTTCAAAATAATTACAGTTATTGGGTTTTTCCGTTAAGAAATTCTCTGTAGCAGCACGGAGTCCGCAGTTGGCAGTTGGATGCTTTTCGAGGCACGTTGGTCCTGCGCCTGATCTCTCTCTCTCTCTGGTCGTGTTGGTTTACCGCCCTGTTGGACTATGGGAATGAGGAAATGGAGAGTGCGCCTAAGCTTGCGCATACACTTCGGCATTATAATCCTGTAATGCGCCGATGGCTAGTCTTCGTTGAAACGGGCTGCCGTGACCGAAATTCTCAAGATTATTATTATGTAATGTGACTATTTTTTTTTTCTCTCAAAGCGGGACACCTTTAAATTTTTAGTTTTAAATGTAAGCACAGTTTTATTGAATATTTAATTATTAAAAGTCGAAATGAGAACAAATGTTATACAGTCTACAATATTAGAAATATTATAATAAGTATTTTTAGGTTTCCGTAACTCAAAAGGAAAAAATGGAACACTCATGGGATCACTTTGTTTTCCGTCTGTCTGTCTGTCAAGACGCTTTTACTCAGGAACGCTTGGAGGTATCAAGCTGAAATTCATATCAAATACTCAAGTCTACTGTCCCTTAAATCTGTGAAAAATTCAAACTTCTAAGCCAAATAATAAAAAAAAACGTAATTAAAAGATACAGCCGTTTATTTTATATTACCTAGTCAGGTCATAAATTTTGTCACATATTTAATACTCGTATAAAATAATTGAAACAAGTTTATTCATTATGTAACCATTTATATACCAAAATGAACTTAACAAAACATAGATTCTTATGACACTAAAGTTTATTCAAAATGAAAAAAGAATTTCCCGATATTTTTTCCCGCGTACCGCTTCAACAAAGCGCGGCATCTCTTCAGTCTCAGTTCCATTAGACGAGCATTCAAACGATGTCCTGTTTTTCTTAGATATGCCCGAAGCGAAGTCTTCATTTAACACCCTTTTCACCGTGGTTCTGCTTAACCCCATCTGAAGGGCCAACAGTTTCTGCTTACGTTTGGGATTTCTTTGAATTCGCGCCTTCACAGCTTTTATCACTGCTGGAGTCCTAACAGACCGAGGGCGACCACTTCTTGACTTGTCATCTACACTAGAGTCTTCATTGTATCGTTTGATGGTACGATAAACGAATCTTTTGGTTATATTCAAATTTTTCAGTATGTCAAAAATTTGAATTGGCGCGTTACCGCAACGATGCAACGCAATAACTGCAACATGGTCTTCTTTAAGCGTCCACTCCATATTTAAAAATGAGTAAAATTCTAAAAAGTATACAGTTTTATTTTCATGAACAATTCAAAATTCGAATTCAATAAGCTTTTTTGTGGCCAGCATTCTAAAAGAAAAGTTTTTACTGTGTGACAATACTTATGACCTGACTAGGTATTTGTATCAAATTTTCGACATTCGCAAGGGAATCAAAACCTACAGGGTACTTCCCGTGAACTTTCGGTTCGATTCCCGCACGGAACAAGTATTTGTATGGCCTACAAATAATTTTTCTGGGTCTGGATGTTTGTATACTGGTATGCGAAATATATGTAAGTATACTGCCCTAGGATACAGGAGAAAGTCCTATTGTAGAGGTAATTTTTTATAAAAAAATGTAATTTATTTTTATTAAGATTTTTAACTCTATATCATCATCATCATCATCTTCATTACAGCCCTTCACAAGTCCACTGCTGAACCTAGGCCTGCATGTCTTACCAGGTTGTCACTCCATCTAGTGGACCCTACACTTAGTCCGCCGGTACGAGGCCGCCACTCGAGAACGTTTTTCCCCATCGGTTGTCGGTTCTTCGAGCTATATGGCCGGCCCATTGCCACTTCAGCTTACAAATCCGTTGGGCTATGTCGGTCACTCTGGTTCTACTGCGGATATCCTCATTTCTAAGTTTATCACGCAGAGAAACTCCGAGCATAGCCCTCTCCATAGCTCGCTGAGTGACCTTGAGCTTCCTCATCCGGCCAGTAGTGAAGGAACACGTCTCAGTTCCATAAGTCATCACTGGCAACAGTCAGTCAACAACAGTTGTACAGTCTCGTTTTTAAGTTTTGAGGTATACCTGACGAGAAGATGTGCCGTAATTTCCCGAGCGCTGCCCAACCGAGTTGAATCCGTCGATTGACGTCTCGGTCGAAGTTGGACTTACCTAGTCGGACTATTTGTCCCAGGTTCGGCATAGGTGTGACATGGACATTCAACATGATTTTTGTTTTGTCTATGTAATGACTCTCGAAAACAGCACGTAGACGCGGCTCAGAAGGGAAATCGGTCTACAGTTCTTCAAGAGAGCGTTATCACCTTTCTTGAAGAACATAACTACCGCACTTCTGCTCCACGCCTCCGGTGTAATGCCACTATGAAGGACGGAATTAAAGAGCTTCAAAGGACTTCAAGTACCGGTTTTCCACCTGCTTTCAGAAGCTCCGCTGTAATTCCATCCTCGCCTGGGGACTTGCTGTTTTTAAGGTGCTGGAGAGCCATTTTTATCTCGCTCAGACTGACATCCGGGATGTCATCGGAATAGTGTCGGATATGACTTGCTCTTGGATCGTTACTTACAATTTCGTGTGGCTCCAACAATGATGTGTACAGCTGCCAATAGAACCTCTCAATCTCACTCAAAATCTCAGGTGTCCCGGAAACGACGCTGCCACACTCGGTCTTCAGCTTCGACAGTTAGCTCTTTCCGGCAGACAGATCTCTAGCAAAGACTTAAGAGCCCTGGTTCCACTCTATCGCT